CCGTGTCCCTCCATCCCTGTCTCCCATCTTCTTCTATCCCCATGCCCCTGCATCCCGTATCCCTCCATCGCCACCTCCCTGCACCCCATCCTCCTCCATTCCCGCACCTCCAGTACCCCCGGGAGCTCCAGGACAGCCTGGGGGATGCCCACATGGCAGAGGCAGGTCTCCTCCTCGCAAGGCTTGCATCTCTTTAGGCATCTCTTTAGGCCACCCCCGAGCTGACCCTGTGAGACCCCCAGTGCCCAGCGCTGGGGAAGGCAGGGCTTGGGCAGGCTGGGGCCACCCAGATGCCGGGGATGCTGCTGTGGCTGAGGCCACGAGACACGATGGTGTCCCAGGGAGGCAGCACCTCGTGGAGCTTCTGCAGGAACCTTCGGGGCAGGCAGCTGCCCAAGCCGGCAGCGATGTGGGAGGGCAGAGGTGGGGACCACGTCTGTCCCCTGCTCAGGGCTGTGTCCAGCGAGCCGAGAGAAGAGCTGGGCAAGAACTGTTGGCTTCTTTGCCAGCTCAAAACTCCAGAGGTTTGGCTGTGTGAGACCTGCTTCAGGGAGCCAAGAGAGCCACCAGCCACTGCCCCTTGCTCTGCCTGCACGGGAACCTGCAGAGAGATGGGTGTCAGCTTGGAGGGGAACGATTGAATCACATTAAACTCCCACACAGACACACTCACCCACACTAGAGCCCAGTGCCTTCAATTTTGCAAGAGAATGAAACTGTTTGAGGGTTCCCTTAATTCTAGGTGAGATTAGCCACATGGGAGTTTAGCACTGTTTAATTAATCCATTTTGATTAATCCATGCACCCTGAGCATCCCGTGGGGGTAGACAGGCTGGGATCCTGTGCTCGTGTCACTGCTTGTGCTGGGATTTCAGTCAGCAGATGTGTTTTGGAGGCAGGAATTCTGAGGCCAAATCCTGCCCTGCCACAGCCAGCAGCCACCTCCTCATCTGCAGGACAGGACTCAGCCTTACCAAAGGGCTTGGGATGGTTGAAGCACCTCTGGTAGCTGAAAGCATCATCCCCCAGGACAAGGGCTGATGGGATCAACTGCACTGTGTTACCAGAGGAGAAGAGGTGGCAGAGGGGCAGGAACCCTGCAGGCCCTGCCTGGGGTCTCCATGTGTTCCCATGGGATGGGGGCTGTGCAGCTGGGAACACACGTGGCCAGCAGACAGCAGCGGGCTCAGGGCACAGTTCAGGTGAGGCCCCAGCAGGAGGGAAGGGTGAATGGCTTCAGCAAAAATCTCCATCACTGCCTGACAGGTTATAGCTTCATTTACATGATTTTCCTGTCAGCTGTGACAAACAATGGCTACGCTTCTCACACGCCCTGTGCAATAAATAATTGCAGCCCAGGTGCCATATTTCTGAAACACTGGCATGTCAGATCTCTTTGTGTTGGGCTGTGCTCCAAATCTCAGTTTTAACGTTAATGTAGCTGTGTTTACTCTTTCTAATTCCCTTTGTAATTTTGAAAGCATCAGTCAAATGCTCTTTCAACAGTCTCTCAGGGTGTAACAACTGTTTTTCCACTTACTGCTCTTATGGATCATTATATTTACCTCCTCATTGCTGTCACTGTATTATCTGGTAGCCTGGGATCTGGTAATTGCACTTGGTTATTAAGCTTGGATCTGACAGGGTTTTTTTGCCACTGCAGTCTTCTGTCTGCTCTGTATTCTGTGAAATGTGGCATGCAGGCATTAAGTTCATAATTTTTGATTGTGTGGGTTTGTGAACAGACAGAGCAATTAGAAGCTGGTGCCTTCCTGCCTGCTCACAGCTCAGAGTGCAGCATGGTGCAGGATGCTGTCCTCAGCCCCTCAACCCTGTCCCAAGCAGGAGTTTCCTGGAGTGGGAGGTGTGTTCCAGAGCCCAGGATAACATGGTTATCCTCCTCTGGTCATCCCATCACTGTGTGCTGTCAGCTTCCACAAGAGTCCTGGAAACCCACTGGCAGCAAGGACAGAGGTGAAGCCAAGGCACAGCTTAGAGTAAGACAGAAATAAACAAGAGGGTTTCTTCTCCACGCAAAAGTCACACAAATTCCTGCAAAAAGTGAAAATATAAGTAGCTGTCTGTGAAAGGCCCCGGCAGCAGCATGGGAAGGAGCCAGTGCTGTTCTGTGGGCACCTTCAGAAGGGAAGTTTCTGGCCCTGGTAGTTTCTTGTAAAAGAAACTCAGAAGAAAGGCTTGGATGCCTTTGGATGCCTTTGGATGCCGTTACTCCCCACGCCACGTGACTCCCTGGCACTGAGTTTGTTACTCATCTGCTGAGGGCAGGGGCCACTGGTTTCTGTTGAGCTGCTGTAATTGAGGTGGGCACAGAATCGCTGGAGTCCGGAAGATTGCAGCGAATACCTCATTATGCCTCACGGTGTAATCGTGTGTGTCCTTGAGTCACAGCTCTGAAACTTGGACCAAGGTGGGGAAATTAAATCTCAGGAGGCATTCAAGGCAAACCTTGTCCTCCTTGAGCTCCTTGTCCCCAGGACAAGGGCTGACAGGGCTTCAGTGGCATAAATGCTCACTTCCCTGCATCTAAAACAGCACAACCCCTCCTCCCCAATAGTATGGCCGTGATTTAGGTCTGAGTCTTGGTGACACTGGAGTAAATCTGGAGTGGCTCTTCAGAAGGCCTCCCACACTTAGATGCTTCTGCAGAGACTGGCTCTATAACTCATGTCCAACAAGGTCACACAGTGGGTTCTCATATAGCCAAGAGTCAAAGGTTCCTGTGACACTGGAGTGCTCAGGGGGACCAAGAGCAGGTGCCAGGGGAGGTGTCGATGCCCCTGCGGGGCAGTTGTGGACAGTCCTGGCTGGGTGTGTTCCCTCCCACAGGGTGACCCTGGCACTGTTGTCTCAGCATCCTGTGGAGCCCTCAGCCTCCCTAAGGTTACCCTGCACACCTGGCGCTGCATTGGCATGGCCTCTGAATGGTTTGTGAGCTGCAGGAGGCTTGTCCAGCTCTAGACCCCAGTCCAGCTTTAGGGCCCCTCCTGGCCTCTGCGACAAGCTCAAGGTCTGTCAGGAGGGGGCCTTCTCTCTTTAGAGGCCAAATGAGGTTCTGCCTACATGATACTGTGATGTGCCATCATCCCAAAGGATGTAGCCTCACGTGGCCCCGTTAGCACTGCCTGCAGATCTGTTACCGAGTCGTTTCCCATTTTCCTCCACTCTCCTACTGCTCCTCTGCTCCCAGGGCAGCCTTGCTGGAAACCCCAGTGAGGGCTTGACACCACTTTTCCTCTTTCCTCCACAGGCTATGGACATGCTGCCCCGGGCACGGATGCCGGCAAGGTTTTCTGCATGTTCTACGCCATCCTGGGCATCCCCCTGACGCTGGTCATGTTCCAGAGCCTGGGGGAGCGCATGAACACCGTGGTGCGGCTGCTGCTCAAGAAGATCAAGAAGTGTCTGGGCATGAGGACAACCCATGTCTCCATGGAGAACATGGTCCTTGTGGGCTTCCTGTCCTGCATGGGCACCCTGTGCATCGGCGCCGCAGCCTTCTCCTACTTCGAGGGCTGGACTTTCTTTCATGCCTATTACTACTGCTTCATCACCCTGACCACTATTGGCTTTGGAGACTTTGTGGCTCTGCAGAAGAACGAGGCTCTGCAGAAGAAGCCCCCGTACGTGGCTTTCAGCTTCATGTACATCCTGGTGGGCCTGACCGTCATCGGCGCCTTCCTCAACCTGGTGGTGCTGCGGTTCCTGACGATGAACTCGGAGGACGAGCGGCGGGACGCCGAGGAGCGAGCCTCGCTGAGGAGAGCCCGGAACAACATCCACCTCAAGCCAAAAGAGGACAGCCGGAGCAGCAACGCCATTTTTCTCCCCGTGGAGGACAGGACGAGCCAGATGAACCTGATCCCGCTGGTCCAGGAGGACGCGGAGAGGCAGCGGCGCCAGTCGGCCAACTCTGCGGCCGCGGTGCCCTCCTTCTGCACGTGCCTGTGCTACAGACCCCAGGTGTGCGGCAGCCCCGTGCCCTCCCACCCCGAGACCCTGAGCTGCCACACCAACCCCGTGTACTACAACTCCATCTCCTACAAAATCGACGAGGTGTCCCTGAGCACGCGGGGTCAGACCGGCTCTTCCCCGGGGAGCACTTTATCATCCAGCAGCCCTCGCTGCCGGCAGCACCCCCGGCTGCGCAGGAAATCCATCTAGGAGCGTGTGCCGAGCTGCACTCAGTGCTCGAGTCTTACCATGATGATAAATTAAGAACAGAGATGCCAGGTTCTTCTTACTCTCTCATTTCTTCTGTTCCTCTCCCCCTTCAGCTGGCAGCCAGCCCCACGAGGGTCCAGCAGGAGCCTTTAAACCCTGTTGAGAAATAAGTACTCCTTTTTTGCAGGCACTGAATGACATTGTCGGTTTTTATTTGCTTTTTCCTCCCAAGTAGGTTCAGGCATTTGGGTCTGGCAAGAGCCCCCCTGGTGTGAAGCCCGGCAAGCTGTAGGTTTGCTTTCCCACCTCCCTGCTCCCCCAAGGGTGCATTGCTGCTTTCCCACCCTGCCAAACCTTGGCTGTGGCTGCTGCTCCATGGGGTGGGTTGCACTTGCTGAGAGTACCACATCCAGGGCCCATGTGAGTGAGCCCTGCAGGGCTGGGGACCTTTAAGTTGTCCCCTGACACTGGATGCAGGTAAGTCAGTGCCATGCAGTAGGTTTGCAGCTGGTGATGGGCAGGGGGGAAGGGGCTCAGCACATGGGGATGGCTTCATGGAGCTGCATCTCCCAGTCCTTTAGGCTGGCTCAGTGCTTCTGGAAGCTGGAGGCCCATGCACTCACCCACTTGCCCACCAGCACACCGTACCTCTTACACCTCACTGCCACTGGGAGGTCCTGAGCTGGCTGGTGGGATCTGTGTCCCACTCACAGGGGAAGCTGAACTCCTGCAGTCCAGTCCAGTCCAGTCTAGCCCAGCCCAGCCCTCCTCTGCTGAGCCCACACTGTGCCAAGGGCAGCCCCAGGGAGAGCCTTCCTCAGCCACACACAGTCACTTGAAAAGGGCTTGGCCTTGAGGAGACTTTTTTTTTAGCTAAAATCACCCCTCCCTTCTCCACCTTTCCTCCAGCTGGAAGCCCAGAAGGAGTGCCAGTTCCTCACCTACTCACAGTCCCTACGAGCCCCTGGGTCTTACCTGAGGGGGCTGATCCCATCCCCACGTGCCCCCTACACCTGGGAGGCTCTTTCCAGCTGGTGGCCTTTGTCCATCCTGTCTCATCCGCAGGAAAGCAGGACTAGGCTCTGACAGCCCTGTTTCACTTTTTTTTTCCCCAGTAAAGGGACATTTTCTCTAATGGCTCTACCTAAAATACCCTCTAAGGGGGTTTTCCTGAAGGAAAATCCACCTTTCTTGATGTGAAGGCATGGAGAGTGCCAGTGTTGGAAAGGTCTCAGGGCAGGCTTTGCTCTCTCCCTTTTGTTCTGAGTGGCAGCTTAATAAAAGATGAATCCAGCTGGTGGTGGTTGGTTATTTGTCAGGAGGAGGAGCAGAGGGATGTGTCCAAGCCCCAAACCCCAGAGACTGCAGTTCCCCCCAGGGGCTCAGCAGCTGCCTCACTTTGCACCAGTGGCCCCAGATCTGGACCAGCTGGGTGAGCCTTGGTTTTAAAGAGAAGGGGGGTGGGGAGGCAGAAAGCAAGCTCTGAGCGTGTAAAACAGGCTTAAAAATGAGAGTTTCATTGGCTTCTGAGCTCCTCAGTGGTGTCACTTCATGCTGATCCCACCAGCTCAGCCCCTTTGTTGCCATCTCCCATCTCCCCCACCCTCCCCAAGGCTGTCAGCCCAAGGATTGGCTGTAATGTGATGCCTTTGCCATCAGAGCTGGGCAGCAGATGGAAATCTCTCCCTCTTTTCCTGTTAAACCTGGGACACCTTCCCAGTGGCTAAGATGGAGATGGCACCTCTCACCCTCATCCACCCTCGTGGAAAGAGGCAGGTCTTGAGTTCCGGCCCAAAGCAGAGCCTGCACAGCATTGCCCTGGTGAAACCCACCTCTTACAGAGCTGGAAGCAGGAGAACATCTCCAATGCAGAGGCTGAGCCAGCTTGGAACTCTCCCTCTGGATTCAGGCTGGCATTGCCCATGCTCGGGTCACAGAGCCCACCATGCACAGGCAAAGCCCAGCAGAGGCAGCTGGGCTGTGCTGTGACATCTGCCCCGGGGAGGACAGTGCTGCTGAGGAGGTGATGGTGCAGAAAGTGGGGCACACACTCGGGTTATTGCTGCTTCCATGTGGCCTGAGCTTCCAGGCAGCACTGCTGGGGAGCTTGGCTGCTCAGGGACTGCCTGAGCCCTGCTTTGGAAGCTGGTGATGGTCTGAGGGTGGGAGATGCTGTTCACCCCCAGGTGCCCCCAGACACACTCACTGCTAAAGAAACTCTCCCCCTCCTCCCTCCACCACTGCTCCCCAGGGGCTGTAGCTGGGGCAGTGAGAAGCTGCCCCTTGGTCCTGCCCCAATGACCAGCAGAGGGATGTGGAGGCATGAGAAAAACCTTTAAGAAAATTCTCCATGAACTATGACTTGTGATCCCTCATTGCTCCCATATGGGAAAAGGACTTGTGGTGGCTCCCCAGGGAATGCTGCCTGTTCTCACCACCCCCTCCCACAGACCCCTACAGCAGAAGCCTCCTTACACTTCCCACCCCAGGGCTGACAAAGGTCACCCAGGAGCAGGCAGCAGCTGCACACCCAGTGACATCCGAGGGTCTCCTTCCCCAGGGATCCCCAGGCTCCCCTGCACCCACACTCACTCAGTATTCCCAACGGCCTGGGGCAGGGGTACTTTTTTCTGCCAGCAGTCTTCACCTCCAGGGTTTCAAAATCACCCTTGCATGGCCAGGGCTGGGCACGAAGGATCTTTGGGAAGAAAACAGCAGGAGCAAGGCTTTGGACTGGGGTGGTGAGCAGAGTACAGCTGGGAGCAAGCTGAGCTCTGTGCCTGGGGAGGCCCATGGCCCAGTTTCATCTGGAAGTGTCACAGGAGAATGCAGGTTTGAACCTGGGGCTGATTGAGGGAGCTGGAGTGAGAGCCCTTCCACAAAGAGCACTGGCAAGGAGCCTGGGACAGAACTGGGACACACCAGGATGAGTTGCTCTCATTCCCCACAGACACAAGAAGAAGGGAGGGCCCAGTTGAAATCAGGCTGAAGATCAGGGTGGTGGCAACAGAGAGGGCAGAGACACTCCGCAGAAAAACCTCCAACACACCATAGGAAAAAGAAAGGTTTTATTATCACCATTATCAACGTTTTCATTAGCTTAACACTGAATTGTAAATCACTCAATCATTACATATTGTCTGAATAAAACCTACAGACAGGAAAAAAGTATAGCAGAATCCTCTCCTGACTACAGACGAGTGGCCGGTGTCCCACCTTCCACCCAAGGCAGCCCACGCACCTCGCAAGCCACTCACCCCCGGGGCAAAGGCTGCCCAGCTCCATTGCCTGTGTTCCCTCCAGCTCCACGGAGATTACATCTCACCACATGATGTTAAAAACCTCCAAAAAGTTTTGGAGAGGGTTACCAGAGGCCAAAAAGAGGCAGATCAGCTGCCCCCACTCCTGCGGAAAGGCAAGAGGAGTGCAGTGCCCCTGCAAAGCTGTTGGGGTTTGTGAAGCGATTAATGAAGTAAAAAGGGTTAAACCATGAAAGCAGATTTCCCTACACTGGCCAGGCCCTGGCACGAGAGGAACAAGGCAGAGCACCTGCACGCTGGAGTGGGGAGGTGAGGGTGTGGATGGGCTGGGGGTGGCCCCATCCCCGAGCAGAGGCCAGCTCTGCTGCACCGCCCCAGGGCTCCCGGCAGGCAGCCTGGGAGGGACTTGTCAGTGAAAGAGATGCCCTGGGCAGCCTCAGCCCCCTCGGGCTGGAATAAGGCCTTGTATGGAGAGGGAAGGAGGAACTCCTGAAGGGAGCAGAGAACGCTGGGGAAAGCAAAGGGAACCTGGAGGAAAGCTAGCTGGGAGCTCCCCTTCTCCCCGGGCAGTACGGGGCAGATCCCGGTCTGTCCTCTCCTGGCTGTCAGTGTGGCACATCCCACCTGCCTGCTGTGCAGCCCCTGCAGAAGACCCCTTGCTCCTTCCAAGGATGGGAAAGGAAGGACCCCCTGTGGTTTGAATCTGGGACTGCCACAAAACGTGGGCAGGACACAGGCATCCCTGGTGGGTGGCAGGCCATGGCAGTGCTGCATGAGGGGGTCTTGGGGGAGGCACTGCATCCCCGGGATGCCCTTTGCTGTTTCCTGGTGCAGGGAACAGCCTGCAGGGAGCAGGAGAAAGGCAAGTCCAGCATGGTGAGGCTGTGGGATCATGCCTTGGACTCGCTCTCCAAACCTCACTTTCCTTTGCTCCAAAGCCAAAAGCAGCTCCAGGTCAAGGAGACGGAATCACCAAAGCAGAGACCAGTGTGCAGCACTGGGTAAGGAGCAGCAGCCACAAAGAAAACACTGCTGGAGGATTTCAAGCTCCAGGCTGGCTGTTAGTGGGACCTGGAGCACCTATCCCAATGTGTGGTGCCCAAACAACTACAAAAACCAACTCCTGGAAAGCCTGTGGGATGGCTTCAGCATCCTGGATCCTCCCCTCGGGTTGCTTCTGCCCCCATCCCGCTCAGGGAGCAGAGCTCACAGCTGTGCCCTCACGGCCTCTCTGCCAGACACAGCCCTTCCCTGCCCAGCACAGGGGTCTCGAGCCCACCTGAGGTGCCCAGCATAAATGCCAAGGCTGTCTGCTGACCTGGCTGAGCAGGGCTGAACAACACAGCTTTGGGTGCTGTTTTAGCTACTGGGAAGTCACAAAGGGAAAGTCGATGGGTTGTCGCCTCTGTTTGCTGGTGCTCTGGAAAGGGCTGGTGCAGGGCCCTTCTGTTACAGCCTCTTGAGTGCAAAGAACCAAATGCTACAAGAAAGTCTCCCTGGTTCCTCCCCTCTGCAAGAGTAAGAGCAGCTACCATGGGAGAGGGAGGGCAGAGGGTGTCTACACTTTGAGAAGAGCCTGAGGTTCCTCAAGAATGACTGTGATGCTGCTGTCGTGGGTGAGCAGCTGGGGCTGGACGTGTGGCTGCTTGGTCACAGGGATGGGGCCACTGAGCAGAGGAGCCTGGTAGTGTGAGTGAAAAACTCGTCAGCCACGTTTTGAGAACACCTAATCACTTGCAAACTCCCTGGGGAATCAATGTGTTCTCAGACACACACCTTGGCTGGTGTGCACTGGGGTAAACACGAAAAGGCTCTCACTGATCACCCCCTTTTCTAAATGTTTGGCTCAAATTTGGTAGCTGCAATTTCATTTTAGATGCTCCCTCCAGGTTTCAATATGCCCTGGGCTCCTCTACTGACGAGGCTTTGCATTTACACCTCTCTCTCTCCTCAAAGCGTTTCACAAAACCCAGGAATTCTTCCCTCACTCCTCCAGGCTCCCAGCACCACTGGGACTTGCTGCCTGCACAGCCAGCAGTCTGGCAGTCTTGAGAACAACATAGAGACCTGTCCTATGGGAAATGCTGCAAGGAATCCACAGGCAAT